TGAAAAGGCTGACTCAGAGGGTAGGTGGAATGAATTTTACTTCATATGAAGAGTACTTATTTGCCATTTTCATATATTTAGCAATGCGATATAAAACCAAAACCAAATATCGGATTAGTTGGGAACTTTTTGTGTGTGTATGTGAGGCTTAAAATCGATTTGGTTTACCCCCAACAGAATCTGACATTGAAATCATTGAGAGAGGCTTTGGCTAAAGATCCAGACATGTTTGCAAGAGGCTTAATACTTGAGCTGTACTCGGGTACATTCTCTCCTAGAGATGTTTGCCGAGCTTTGGGAGAGGACAACATTAAGTGTATAGAACAAACATATAATAATATCTCTATCATGACAGTAAAGAACACGACGGTCAGAGATCACATAGCATCGACGTTCAAATCAATCGATTTCAGGCGTCGGGGCAATGCAAACCCTTCGATTCCGACAAACAACTCAAGTTATAAGCTACACAACGTGGCTCCAACTTCAGCCCGCGTGGAGGGCATCCTGACGGGGATCCCCACGTTCCTGTCTTCAAGAAATCTCGACGGGCTGCAGGAGGCATTGTCAGACGCTTTTCCCCTCCTAGGGAAGGTCAAGTTGCGTCCCTTGGCGTGGGAGAATACGGACATACAGAGCGGAAGGTTGGCCTTTTCGTCTGAGACAGAGGATCTTGAAGCCCTTGACAACTTCTTCCAAAGTTTCAACAGGGAATTTGACTTCAGCAATTTTACGGGGAAACTGACAGATATAAAGGTCAAGTCCCAGAACAAGGAAGCTTTCTTGCCGGAAAATCCTTTTGAACAAGGTTTTACATTTAAGAGTTGGGACTTGCAAGAGGGAAATACTTACCTAGTTATTGGTTTTTGAAATGTTGTATTGATTCAGTACATATCAGAAAAGAAGAAAAATTGACGATTTTAGTGACAAGAGTAATTATCTTTATTATTGATTATTTTTAGATAGATTTTCTTAACCATTTTATAGTATTCCTAAGCATTATTCTCACCACAATTTACTACATTGTTTTAAGTTGTTTTTTTGTGTAAATGAAGTTCAGAGCAAGTATTTTAAGAAGAGGTACATAACTTTTGTCCTGAACTCTTGCGTCGAGGTCAGATATGATTACTGGAATGTGTAGACATTCTAATGCTTTAAAAAATATCCATCCAATGCCATGTCCCAGACAAAAGACTCTGTTGGTTGTAAGGTTTAGGTTGGCTTTTAAAGAGCTAGAGCCGTGCTCTTTAGCCTTTTTAGAGTCGCGGACCCCTTTAGGAATGCGATGAAAGCTAGGGACCCCTTCCCCCAGAAATATTCACTTCAATACAACTTGGCAGTATGTATAATGTTTTTTATTTATCGGATTTGATAGTCTCATGCATATATGAGGTACACAAAGTATTATTATACTTTAAAGTAAACAGTCAAAACACAAAACAAAAAAACACCGATATAAATTTTAGATTTTATCTGATCCTGACGAACCCACTAGACCCAGGTGGACCGCCGTCAAGGACCCCATAGCTAGAGGAATTTGAAAAATGAATGAAATGTCAAAAGACGTCAGCACTGGCCCAAAAGTTGCCGAGGTCATGCGATCGGTTTTTGGGCCGATGTAAATGAGAAGGAAATCTCTGCAGGAAGAAAAGCCCAAAATTGCCTGGCCTTGGACTGTGCTTGAGCCACAGTGCTAAATCAGTTGACTTTATTACAAATCAGACATGGGCTGCCTCGTTACTCGTAAGGTTCTTTGGAAGAAGGATATAACACTTGTTCTTGAGCAAGAATGATTTAAGTATGGTTTGTAAGATGTCAAATGAATATGCAATTCCATAAATTGTCCTACTTTGTATACATTTAATTATTGTAATGACATAAAATAACTTACAGCGAGAAACCATTTTTTATCTTTTCTTTAGTTAAGGAATACAAAAAATATTTGGTTTTCATAATTATTGTACAATATAAACAATCTTGCTTGTTTTCTTTGGTGAGCGGTGGAAAATATTTTTTCAGGAAATATTATTGCTGAGTAGAATTTAGTTTTTTTTCACATTTCTGTGAGTATTTTCATGTGCTTTTCTTTTGAATTGGTATAATTTGTGGAAAATGGCTTCTTAGAAGAGTGGTAACACAGCAGTTAGACCCTTACCTTGATTCAGTAGTGTGTGTGTGTGTGTGTGTGTGTGTGTGTGTGTGTGTGTGTGTGTGTGTGTGTGTGTGTGTGTGTGTGTGTGTGTGTGTGTGTGTGTGTGTGTGTGTGTACACTTGTACATACATACATACATACATGCATATATATATATATATATATATATATATATATATATATATATATATATATATATAATTGCGGAAATCCTGTCTATAAGCCTCTGGTACCTTTTTATAAACATTTAACACAGCCTCTTTTACAACATGATAATTCTGTGACTGTACCAAATCCAGAGCTGAGAAAACCTCTTGTGCCCTGCCAACAAATGCGCTGTGTACTAGT